TTTTTTTTTTTTTTTTTTTTTTTTTTTCTTTTTTTTTCGCTCCGTGATGTGGATTGCGAGTTTCGTTTCTCCAGTTTCATCACCTCTAACGTAGTGGGAAGGGAAGAACAAAGAAGAAGGCGGGCGACGGGTGGCTGAGGAAGAAGGAACCGCCATCATGTTGACCTCATCGCTTACTAGTGAAGATGGTCTCTTCCGTCAGCGGCTTGACTCCATTAACAAGGAGATGCAGGCCATTATTGAGCGCACAGCGATTGAGCGCGACAGGCTCTTCCGCACTGGCGCGATGGCGTCTTTGCCGTGGAGCATTGATGACGCCACGAAAATAGGGGGCGCAGAGCTCGTGCATCCCTTACAGAGTGTTGCTGTTGCTGCTTCTGCGAATGCCATGCAGTTGGTCGTGGACGAGGCAACTGTTCGACGGATTGTGACGGACGAGATGAAGGGTTTGAAGACGATGTTTCAACAGATGCTATCCGAGGCGGTGAGTGGCGTTCACTCGGCTGTGCAGAGGCGTCTCGAGGAGGTGAGTAAATGCCAAGCCGACCTCGCCGAATCGCTGCGGGAGGCGACGGAGGCCTCACGGCGCGGTTTAGCGGAGTTGCAGGGCGGGTTCAGTCGTCTGCAGCGCAGCACCGAGAGGCCGGTAGAGGAGCTGGCAAAGGAGCTGGAGAGTTTCGTCGCGACGAGCACAACGGAGCAAACGCGTCTGCGCGATGCTATTGCTGCCCTGCAGAACGAGGCAAGGATTGAGCAGCAACGGGGAGACCGCCGCGTCGATGAGCTCGTGCGCCGCCACCATGACTTAGTGCGCAACTCGCTCCTTGAGTTAGACACCCAGGCCGGTGGACTGCGGGACGAAATGCAGGGCATGCTGCGCACACATGCCCGGCAGGCGGCTGAAGAACGGGACGCAGTTCAGCATCACGTGGCTCGTCTTCAGGGTGCATTAGAGGCAACAAATGACACTACCACAAGGTGGGTCACGGAGCTGCGTAGCTTGATGGAAGAGAACATTGCTCGTCGCAGCGAAATACGCTCGTGCTTCCGCGATTGTAATCGGCTGGAGATGCTTTTGGGGGGCGCCTCACCGAGTGATGCAGCTCGGGCGGAGAGACGCGATGTATCACGTGGCCCTGTCGATAGCAGGGCGGGTGGTGCGACGGTCCATCCAGGGGAGTTAAGGGCGGTCAAGGAGAAGATCAGCAATCTCTTCAGCAGGACGGAGAAGGTGGAGCAGCAGGTGGCGCAGATGGACGAAGCTTGGCGGCATTTGTTTGCAGGTGGTAATGGTGGTGTTGGATTTACTGGTGCTGCTGCTGCTGCTGCTTCTAGTGGCGGCGGCGGTGGTGAGGGCCACATGACTTTCATAAATCAGGACTCACGTCAGGCAATGTCAGGCAGCAGAATTGAGCGGCCACGACCACTACAAGCAAAGAGCATTCTCGCTGCTTCACATATTCAGACATCACAAATTACAACGCCAATGAACATGCGGGGTCTGCCACAACATCAGATGACGCCGGCTAGTGTTTCTCAAGTCCACAGTCCGATGGGAGTGATGGGAGGAATGCATGGTGAGAGCCCAGTGCAGAGCTCTTCAGCTGCGTCACCAATGTCTTTTCATTCCCGCGGTGCTTATGATCCACGTATGCACCAGCAACAACAACAACAACAGCAGCAGCAACAGTATTACATGCATCATCAACAGCAACACCAGCACCATCACCACCAAATGAGTCACCACCAGATGCATCATTACCAACAGATGCACCAACAGCAGCAACAACAAAAACCAGGTGCCACGCGGCTGGTGGGTTCGCATTCCCGCTCTCGTCTCTTACATGGGCCATTGGAGCAGTCTGCGGAGCACAGTGGTGTCTCACACGTTCGGAGTGGTGACTTTACTGCAAGTGAGGTGCCACCCCAACATCCATCGAATACTCAAATGCTGGACACAACTCTGCCAGGTCGTGGCCACAATAAGCCATCCTCCCCACTTAAAGAAGCACCTGCCAAATCAAGGTCACCCACTCCATCGGATTCGTATGTGAGTGACGGTGGCAAAGACCTAAAGGAAGACAGCTCTATGCAGTACATTCCTGCACCCACTAGTGATATCGAGAGTGAGATGGAAAACAAGAAAATGGCCCGCCTGGCTTTGGATTAAGAAAGTGTGAGGGTGGTTACGTGTAGGCGGCATGGCCAATAAATGTGGTGGACCCTTTCCATTGGTGGCCGCTTGGCAAATAGATTGTACATGTCGTTATACTTTCATTTTGTTTTTGTTGTTATTACCATTGCACAAATCGTTTATTTTTCTCTTACTTGTTAGAGTTGGAATGGACACACTAAAAAAAGAATTATTCTGTTTTGGTCTCGTTTTTTTTGTTTTTGTTTTTTTTTGTTTTCTCCCTTCTGCTGTCTCTTCGATGACTATTTGTGGTTACATAAAGTACCTTATTAACGTGCGTAGCTCTAGAACCGTGGTGTGAATGTCCTCAGGAGTTGCCACTGCGACTGGAAGCGGGAAGGGCGTCGGGGCGAAGCCGTTCGTTCGTGAGACGCGTAGCGTGAAGATCCCACACCACCGCTTTCCCGCACTCAAGAAGGTGTGGATGGAGGTGTACACTCCCATCGTCGAGCAGTGCAAGCTGGAGATTCGCATGAATCTCAAGGCGCGCTGCGTCGAGCTGCGCACGTGCCCCGCAACACTCGAGGCCGCCGGTGGCGACGGCGGCAGCAGCAAGGTCCTCCTGCAGAAGGCGGAGGACTTCGTCAAGGCGGTGGTGGCCGGCTTCGACGTGAAGGATGCCATTGCCCTGTTACGTATGGACGATGTGTACATTGAGGGATTCGAGGTGAAGGATGTTCGCGCCAACCTGCAGGGCGACAACCTCTCGCGCTGCATTGGCCGCATGAGCGGCTCTCACGGTAAGACGAAGTACACCATCGAGAACGTGACGCGGACGCGTATTGTGATTGCCGACACGCACATTTGGGTGATGGGGACGACGCAGAATATCCGCGTGGCAAGGGATGCCCTCTGCGACCTGATCCGTGGCAGTCCGGCGGCGAAGGTCTACACCCGCGTGCGCGCCGTGATGAACCGCGTGAACGACACGTTTTAGCACACAGAAGGGAGTAACAAAACAAACAAAAAAATTAGATGCCATGCCATTTGCTTTCTCTCTCTTTCATTCTGTCCTACAGTCAAGGCAGAGGCTGGCGGTGCGTTCATGAAGATGCCGACGCTGTCAACGTTTCTGCATTAATCGTATAACAAAGCCAAGTGTGACGACAAGAACCCCAATGAGGGTAGTGTGTGCTTCAGTACTGTTTCTTTTTAAAGAATCTTGCTGTTTATGTTATTTCTGTGGGAGCGCTTTATATGTGTTGTTTTCTTTTGCTTCTTTCTTTTTCAAGCTGTTTGTCTATGAGAGTAACGACAGCACCGAGAAAAACCAACATCACGGAGGTGTCACCATGTGGCCTGCACAGTGAAGGAGATGTGCGAATGAAGGAGGGGGGACCTCTTCGATGCGAGAAGCAGTCACTCGCACCACTGCAGGAAGGGAGATGAAGCGAGTTGGTGTCAACAATGTGTCAGGGCTGTCTGATGGGAAGGTACCGAATATGCGGAAAGCTTGTGCCATGTCTTTGGCCCACCCCCACTCACATATCCTTCCCGAGCTTCTGACGCGTAAATACCGATGGGTCAAAGCAGTAGTCTTTGTTTTTGGTTCTTCTTTGTGTGTGACCACGTGCCAGTGTGGGTGCGCACCTTTCTGTACTGGAGCGTTGGTTTGTTGCAAATAGAATGCGATGATGTTTCATTTGTGGATTTCAGTTCGTGTTGCCCCTCTGTGTCTGAAGCGATTACGCCCTGGAGAAACAAATGCGAGCCTGTTGCCACTACTGCCTTCCGACAAAAGGCCAGCATTCTCACTGCTGCAAACGGCTTCCTCAGGGAAGCGCCTCTGGGAGGCTGTGCCGTGTCCTCCCCCACCAAGAGGGGAGGGGGGAGCAACATAACATGTTGTGTGGATCTCTGAAAGCCGCACAGGTGATAATCTATGATGAGAAACGGCCAAACAAAAAAAAAAACAAAGTTGTAGTTGCTAAGATGGAAGAAAAAAAGTTGATATATATCGTTTTCTCTTTCTAAGGTGAAGTCGGTGCCTTCATCACTAGAAGGTTAAAAACATGCCCTTATAATTTTCATGTCACCCTGAGAAAGGGTTACTGTTCGCTTTGGGTTGCGCTCGCCTCTGGTATTGGTGCTTGGTGTCTCTGCGTGCCGGGTCTCTGTTTCGCCATTCCTTGTGTGGGGATGCACGCGATTAGTGTGAGGTGAGAATTGTCTGACGGCTTGGTGTCCCTCTTTATGCTGTATTTCTCACTCTCTTTTGTGGTTATTGCCCCGCTGCATCTGTCCTTGCTTCCTTGCAGGTAGAGGATAACACCCGCCTCTTTGAGTGCACCCGCGATGCTCTCGCGGATTGACCGCGTGGAGCTGTACAACTTCAAGAGCTACGCCGGGCATGTGACGATTGGACCTCTGAAGGACTTCACGTGCATTGTCGGGCCCAACGGCTCGGGTAAGTCCAACCTCATGGACGCGCTGTGCTTTGTGCTGAGCGCCAACCCCGTGGCAATGCTGCGCGGGCGCGACGCGACGGACTTGATCTACCGTGGCGCGCAGAAGAAGGAGTGTGCCGTCACCGTCGTTTTCCGCCACACCACACCCGCGCAGAGCCACGACGGTGCCGCCGCGAATGGCAACAGCAGTCACCACACTAGCAACAATTATTCCGCCGGTAGGAACGGTGGTGGGAGCGGCGGTGCCGAGACGTCCTTCACGCGGGCGGTAGACACCAAGGGGCGCATCATTCACAAAATAGACGGAAGTCCTGTGGACGAGCGGAGCTTCTTTGCGGCACTGGAGAAGTTCAAGGTCGGCGCCCGCGTTAACAACTTCTTGGTGTTTCAGCACGAGGTGGAGGCCGTGGCGCAGAAGAAGGCGCGGGAGCTGACGGAGCTGCTCGAGCAAATCAGCGGCAGCAGCGAGCTGAAGGAGGAGTACAACCGCTGCAAGAAGGCTCACGAGATGGCAAACAACGAACTCACAACCGCGTCTCTGGCGAAGCGTGGCGCTGTTGTGGCCCTTAATCAAATGCGGCTTCACAAGAAGGAGGCTGAGAAGTATGAAGAGGTGCTGAAGCGCATTAGCGAGGAGAAATGCAACGAGGCACTCGTGGAGCTCTTCTACGTCGAGTCCAACCTGGAGAAACAGAAGGAGGAGCTGAACGCTTTTACAGAGAAATTAAATGCGCTTGAGCGAAGCATTGCTTCAGATGAGGAGATACGCAAGATGAAGCGTGAGTACGCTGAGAAGCACAAGTCGTACTTAGAAGAGCTGAAGAGGAACCGCAAGGAAGCTGACACCCTACGTGATAAGCACACTACACTGGAACGTATCAAAATATCCTTGACACATTTGAACCGTAAGCGTGAGGTGCAGCAGTATGAGCTGGACAGCGTTATGAAGACACAGAAGGTTCAATCAGGGGAGACACAGCGCCTGAATGAGCAGCTGCAGCAGCAGAAGGCACTGCTGGCCGCGTTTGAAGAGCGGTGCAGGAAGGAAGACAAGGGACACACTACGCTGAGTGGCACGCTAAGCACGGAACAGCTATCGGAGTACCGTCAACTCCGAAAGGAGGCAGAATGCGAAACTGTGGTGTTGCGGCAGCAGCTGGAGCGTGTAAAGCGTGAGCAGCAATCACTCATTGAGGGGCAGAAGCAGTGCGTGCTGGCAGTCGAGAATGTCAAGTCACAGAAGCAGGAACTCGTGCAAGGTGTACAACGTGGTAATGATCGTGCCACTGAATTGGAGCATCGAAAGCAAGAACTTCACGACACGATTGAAGAACTCTCACGCGGCATTAACCAAAAACGTGCGGACCTTGTTCAGGCAGAGAAGAAAAATAAAGAGCGTGACGCAGAGCTTGCCAAGATACAGGAGCAACTGCATGAGCTCCGCTTTATTAAAGAGAATGACAAACACGGCACACGAATGGCAGCGGCCTTGCAGGCTCTGCGCTCCCTCCACGGCATTCGTGGGCGTCTTGTCGACCTCTGCACGATTCCCAACGACAAGTACCGCAATGCGGTGACCGTGGCGCTGGGTAAGAACCTTGAGGCTGTTGTCGTCGATACCACCGAGGCAGCGATTAGCTGCGTGCGGTACCTAAAGGAGCACCGCCTGCCGCCCATGACGTTCCTTCCGCTGGATTCCGTCCAGGGAAAGCGAGTAAACGACCGACTTCGGACATTCGGCGGTACCTGCAAGCCTGTCGTGGATGTGATCCGCTATGACATGGCGATTGAACCTGCGGTGCAGTACGCCCTGGGACAGACGCTTGTGTGCGATGCCATGACAGAGGCGAGACACGTCGCGTACGGTCGCGAGGACGGTGAGCGCTTCAAAGTGGTGACTGTTGACGGCTCTGTGCTAATGAAGAACGGTGCGGTGCAAGGTGGTCTTGCGTCGATTCAGTCGCGTGCGCGCAAGTGGGACGAGAAGAAGTACGATGATCTGCGCGTGGCTCGGGACAGACTGCTGAACGACGCCACTGGTGGGTCCGAGGCGGAGATGGCACGCATGCATTGCGAACTGCGCGACATGGAGGCGCGGTTGGAGTTCGCGCGCGGTCGCATCAAGGCGGTCGAGGCAGAGGCACAGGCGACCACGCAGAAGGTGGCAAACATGCAACGCGAGACGGCGAGGCAGGAGGCGGAGGAGCGCACCATCGCCGAGCGCCGCGCTGCGTACGAGGCGGAGCTGGAAAAGTGTCAGCAGGAACTGCGCAAGACACGTAAGTCCATCGTGGAGGTGGAGGAGCGCATCTTCACGGAGTTCCAGAAGCGTGTGAAGATTCCCAATCTGGTGGAAATGGAGAGCAGCGAGGCACAACGCGTGAAGGAGCGTGCTGAGCAGCGGCAGCAGATGCAGCTGCTCATCCACAGGCTCGAGATATCACTTGAGGCGGAGCAGAAGCGTATCAGTGGGCGCCCCATTGATGACTTGCGAAGTGCGTGTGCTCGGTTGGAGAAGGAGATCCAGCAATGTGAGCGTGACCTGGCTGTTTACAGCGACGTAGTTAAGGCCACTGAGAAGAAGCAGGCTGAGGCAAAGGTGTGTGTTAGTGGGGCGAAGGAGGAGCTCGATCGCCTCGAGGCAAACATTCGTCGACAGAGCCGTACCTCTGAGCAAGAGCTTGGAAAGTTGGGGCAGGCTCGTCGAGGTGTCACTGCCCTCCAGGCCGCCTGCGACACACTGCGGTTGCAGCGCATGAACATTGTGCGTCGCTGCCAGATGGAGGAGATTGCACTGCCACTGAAACCCTCTGAGATGAGCGGCACCAAGCGATTACGCACAACTGAGGGCGGGGCTCTGAGTGCGAGCGAGCCGTTTGCGCTATTGGAAGAAGCCTCTAGTGCGGTGCCAACAGGACCGCAGCAGCAGCAACCCTCTCGTGCCCGCCAGTCTGCACCGCCGGCAAAGGAGGCGAATGTGATAGTGGACTTCAGTAACCTTTCAGAGAGTCTGCGGCAGTCGGCATCAGACAAGGCGCGCCTAGCCGCGTACAAGCAGAGCGCGGAGGCCTTGTTGGAATCCCTACAGCGTGCAGCAGAGTCGCTGGCGCCCAACTTGAAGGCCGTGGCGCGTTTTGTGGACTCTGAGGACAAGTTGGGTACTTCCTCCGCCCTACTTGAGGCGGCGCGCGAGAAAGCCCACAAGGCGTACGCAGAATTTACGAGACTCAAGGAGCTCCGCACGCAGCGATTCATGGAGACGTTTGACAAGATTGCGGAGCACGTGGACCGCGTGTACCGCGCCCTTACTCTGAGCACACGCGCACACGCGGTGCACGGCTCCGCATACCTGAGTCTCGAGGACGCCGAGGAGCCTTACTTGGCGGGGACGCGGTACCACGCAACGCCACCCATGAAGCGCTACATGCCGATGGAGCTGCTTTCNGAGGACGCCGAGGAGCCTTACTTGGCGGGGACGCGGTACCACGCAACGCCACCCATGAAGCGCTACATGCCGATGGAGCTGCTTTCCGGCGGGGAGCGCACAATGGCGGCCCTTGCACTGCTGTTTGCTGTGCACGCCGTGTCGCCAACGCCGTTCTTTGTTTTGGACGAAGTGGACGCTGCGTTGGATGCCGGCAATGTGGAGAAGTTAGCCAACTACATGCGGAAGAACTGCAGCACGACGCAGTTCCTTGTCATCTCGCTGAAGGACCAGCTGTACCACGTGGCTGATCTGCTGGTTGGGGTGCTGAAGGACAAGGAAAAAGAGAGCTCTTCCGTGCTGACGATGGATCTCCGTGGCTACCCCTTTTAAGGCTTCTGCCACTGCGTGCCTCCTCGGTGTGAGGAAGAGAAAGTAAAGGAGAAGATACACAGACGACACTAACAGAGCTTCCATAGAGGTTGCCAGAATCAAAGGCAAATATGAAGGATTGAGAAATGAGAAGAAAGAGTCATAGAGGGGACGTGTCACGTCAGAGAGTGAATTTGTTTTATTTTGTTGGTATTCGTTGTTTTTTTTTTGCTGTTCCACCAGGACGGTGCGCCTCTAAAGGGACCGACACGTCTAGTTGGTGTTGTAAGCCTGCGTGGTGTTCGTTCTCCCTTTTCCCAATCTCCGTCCTTTTTTTCCCCCTCCGTGGCTGCAATGACGTGTCATTGTGTGAAACGGTAGTAGGGATGAATTTGGGCTCCCTGCCGGCAACGCCAGTGCGTCCCGCGGCTCTGCACCATGCACTTACGCATGATGGCTTTTTCACGATTGACAGGCGGGTGTTAACGAATGCAGATGAAGAAGAATGGGGGAAAAACGCCGAAAACGCAACTGGCCGTGGTCGGCGAAGCTGCATCATGCCGGCTCCGGCATGCCTGGGTAGTCTTGCTGCCGCCTTGCCCCCTGTTACAGTGAAGGAATTTGAGTGGGCCGAAGCGGTGCTGGCTGCACGTGAGGCAGAGTGTGGTGCGTCCTTTTAGTGTTTCACTTTGGTCTGCGAAACTCCCCCACCCTTAATGGCCGTATCACCTTGATTCTGTGTGAGTGTGTACATGTTTGCGGCAGCGTTATTTTTTGTCGTTGTTTTTGTTCTTGTTGTTTACTCTCTTGAGCGTTAGAGATAAATAGAGAGGGTGTGTGTTTCTGTGTGTGTGCTTGCCGACTGCAAGGGGAACGAATGCAGCATGGATGCGAAGCAAGCCTTTGATGAGATTCGTGCGCGTTTCTCATCACGACCGCTCTTTCAAGAGATGGAGCGCGACTTAAGGGTGATGACGCACCGCATCAGTCAGCCATTTACGAATGAAAACAGCTCCTATTGTAGAGACGACAGAAGTATTGGGAGGAGCAGCTCTACGCCTACCGGTTTACTGAGAAAACTGCCACCCCCAATCGTCCGACCAGCTGTAGTGGAGACGTTGCTGCACCACTCCTCAGCGCTCCCGGTGTGGGAGGAAAAGCAAAGAGGTGGAAACGACAGTGGCTTCGACAGGTGCCACTGGGAAGAGAGTCCTGGCGAAGGATGCTCTTCGTCTCAATGGGCTAGGGTGGGGGGACGTGTGATGGGAACGCGCGCTTCACTTAGTTGTAGCCCACCGGATTCATTCCTGTCCGGCTCGCGGGTCGGTCCGCCGATAGACTTTGGAGCGGAACAGCAGCACTCTCGTGATAGTCGGGGGCGGTACTCCACTCACGAGGCTGGTGGCGTACAGACACCACCACCACCGCCGTCACCGCCGCCGCTGTATGCTGTGGCAGGTGATTGCAGTCAGGCGTCATCTCATGGTCGAGGTCATGACAGCAACGACAGCAGAGGTGGCACGCAGGCGGCGGTGACGGTAGACACCTGTGAAAGGCCGCGTAGTGACGGTCTTCGCTTTCTGAGAGAACTAGACGAGACGAGCATCCTGCAGCAAGTGCGCCACGCCCTGAGTATTTACAAGCATCGTGAAGAGGAAGAAGAGGCAAAGTTTCCAGCTGCGCCTCCAGCGGCGCCCATCACCGACGCTGAGCGTGCGCTTCATTGGTCTGCGGAGGTCAGTGCGCAGCCATTGACGGAGGCGACGCGCTCTGCCCTCGCGGAGCTTGAGGAGTTGGAGAGAAAACACCACGCCGCCGCCGCCGCGGAGATGGCGGTGGTGACGCCGATGCGGTTCCAAGAGGAACGAAGGCATTCAACAGGCGTCGCTCCCGCAGATGACATGATAATGCGATGTGCAAAGATTGGTAACTCACTACGTGGTGATCACCCGGCCCGGCTAGAGGTGGAGGCACCAGCGCCAATAAGAGAGATCACTGCAGCGGCTACCGGGAGTCTTCCGACGGAACCAAGACGGCGGCGGCAGCAACGTTTGTTGCGTGGCCCGACAGATAATGTGGTAGTTGACAGGGGAGTCCACGTGGCGACAAATCTGCGCGAGTGGGACTCAACAAACGAGCCCCGTTTAGGGAAGAATCACTCTTCTGTTCTTAGACCTGCAAATACAGACATTTCATAGACGTGGGATGCTAGTCGCAAATAGTCAAACGTGTCCTTTTTGTAGATATCGGTTTTTTATATCATCATATATGGCACACTGTTGTTGTTTTTTTTTATGTCTGCGAATTCATACACTGTGGGCGGGGATACAAAAGATCCTTGGGAAAACAAAGTGTGTGTTTTATTCCTTCGCTGTGATGCCTTTTTGAATGAAGTGCGAGAGAGTTTGAAGTGAAGCCATACCGCTACGCTGATGGGAGCTGCAGACTCGAGGGACGACCACTGGCAGAAGGACTCCGAGGCCCCCGAGTGCCGTAAGTGTGGCGTCACCTTCTCGCTTAGCATACGGCGCCACCACTGCCGCAACTGCGGCTACGTATTCTGCAAAAATTGTTCGCCGTACAGCAGCATAATCCCAATGCGAGGTGTTTACATGCCAGTTCGCGTCTGCTCGGATTGCTTCCACGCATTGCGCAAGGATGGTGGCGCTACTGCTTGTGGTGGCGATATCTCCGCGACGCAGCGCGGACCATCGCTCACCTCTACAACGTACGAGAGCAACGACGGAAGTTACACGGGTCTTGACGCGCCCATTAGTCCCAGTGCGGCGGTGGGCACCAACTGGGACGGCAATAACAGCCAGTTTGTTGGGGCAGGCGGCGTGGAAACGGAAAATGAAGCGTTGGCGTATTACGACAGCTACGCACGGCCCACGGAAGTGGCAGCGGCAACGGCATATGTTGTGGGAGATAAGACGGCGGCTCGCATGGAGAAGGAGCGACTTTTTCAGTGCTGGATGGATGTGCGCCAGCGCGCCGTGTTTACGGATATATTGTTGCAGCAGGTTGAGAGAGTTGATGAAAATACAGAAGTCGTGTATTGTTTGGAAATAGAAAACATCAAATTGCAGCCAGAGCAGCCTGAACATCTTAATGTCTTGTTTCCGTTTCCAGAAGGAGGGGATGGGAATGCGGAGCTCTTGATGGAACCTGTTGATTCCTGTATTCCGGCGCTGCAGGGGGAAAGCGAGGCTGTCGACACTGCTCTGAAGCAGCTAGCAGCACAGCTTTCCTTGCCACCTGCTGTGGTGATGTGCAAGAGTGACTCGGTGGAGTTGCGTCAGTTTTAATGCCTTCATGATGAAAGTGCGCGTTTCCACAGCCACATGAGCGTAGTTGAATGCTTATTGCTGTTGATTTCCCTCGTCTCACTAAAGTCGCATCTGCTGCTTTCATTGTAACTTGTTTTCTTTGTATACATATATATTCTTCTTTCCGTACTAAATCAATCGACGAAAAAAAAAGCACAGTTATTGGTGATCCCGTAGGGGATATAGGAGATAGGGAGAGAGAGAGTCAGTAGCGATGCGCTCCTCGCTGTTGTGTAGACGGCAGATGCGGCCGTACTACAATCTCCCTTCCAAGTCCGACCACGGGCGTAAGATGACTGGCTTTCTCACACCGTACCGCCATTGGATGTGGAAGCAGAATGAACTGTGGCGCAACGTCCACGAGGCGCAGTTTGAGCACCTGCGGAAGGTGTACAAGAGGCAGTGGCTCGAATCCTTCCGCGTCAACGCGGATGAGTACATCTACAAGTACAATATCACAAAGGCGGCGCAGCTTGCGCAGTGGGAGTACGAGATGCAGGAGCAGGAGAAAAAACGCATCGAGGCAAAGCAAATGACGGAGGGGCGTCAGGCGCTTAAGAAAAAACACCTAGACCTGTTGCGGGAATTCCACGAAAGGCAATTCTTCTTCTGGTACGAGCGTGCGAGCGAGCGGCTGCAGAATATGAGCCTTATTCAGTACCTTCCACAGTCGAAGGTGCAGGAGCACATTGAGAAGGAGCTGGACAAGTACGTTGCCGGTAAGAATGAGGCGTACCCGTTAAACTTCGTCGGGCAGATGCCTTTGCTGGAGGACCGTGACGGCAACATTGTGGAGGTGCCGCAGAGCCTTCTGTCAAATCACGTCGCCGAACACCCCGACTCCACCGCCAAACCTCACGAGCCGCACGAAGGTGCCACCGCCGCCAGTGCGGAGGAGCAGCTGCTGCGCACACTCGTGAGCGCGAGGGAGAAAGGGCTTGAGGAGTGGCTTGAGGACGACTCGCGCGCGCTCTCCGAGACAATTGACGACATATCTCGCGAGGAGGAGGAACGTGAGGCGGGCGTGCGCGTCGCACGGAGCATGGAGGAAACGGATGCGGAGCGTGAGATTAGTCGCCGCACGTACATTGACCGCGGCAAAACAGGCTCTAAGGCTATTTTCCGCCGGCCAAATGTCGTCGAGGGCGATAGTGGTGCTGCAGCAGCAGTTAATGTTTCTGCACAGCAACCGACAGACCCCAAGACGCCGATGAAGCGGCGCAAGAAGGGCAAGCTGGACAAGGTGCACGCCCTGCAGGAGCAGCAGGACACCTTGCTTGCGAAACTGTCGGCGCAGAGCCTCAAGGAGGGGGTTGACCCGTCGGTTCTGGCGAAGCGCGGCGAGATTGTGGCGAACCGCGGCCGAATTCGCGACAAGATGGCGATACCGACGCAGGAGGTGCTGATGCAGAACCCTGAACTTGCTGCAGGAAGTGTGCCCAATGCGCGCCTCAACGTACAGGACAAGGTGGACCAGCGCTACCAGCGTGGGAAGTACAAACCTAAGAATGATGACGATAGCGACTCAGGTGGCGAGAATCTATAGGACGCACGAGGCACACAGTTTCCAACGGTGGACTTTTCGGCTTGCACTTTATGCAATACTTGCTGTCTACACATTTGTGCCTCACGACGGGTAGGTGAACCAAAAAAAAAATCGAAACATTTTTTTTTGTTTTGTTGTCCCCTTTTTATCCATTCCTCTTTGCTCAGCATATAGATAGAGTTGTGCAGGGACGGGGGGCACACCTCTGTGTTGTGTACATTGGTTTTCAACTGCACGTTTGTGTGGCTTCCACCGTCAGATTTGAAAATAAGAGAAGGAGAAAACAACAACAACAAGAGAGATACACACAGAGAGTCTACACCCTTGTTGTGTTTCGTTTGGATCGGCAAGACGATGGTACCACAAGTGCGAAAGTATCGCTTAGAAATCGCCGTCAGGCGGCTGTATGACCTTGCGCACATGAGCTCCAGTGCGCGGATTGTGTTCTCTGTGCGTTTTTCCAACTTCCCCGAGGTGTTCATCCGCCCACAGATGAGGGGCGGTGGCGGCGTAGCTGAATCGGCCCCTTTTGGTGACCGTATCCTCTCGCTGACATACAATGTGTGCCACAAGGCGGAATTCAACCTTAACGACGATGAGTGCTGCCGACTGTTTCCTGCTCAGTGCGTCTGCCGTGTGTATGACGAGGCACAGTCCCAAACAGCAGCAGCGGCAGCCCTCACGTGGGTGTGTCCGTGCCTTCTGACGTCGGAGCGGCCGCCAGAGGGGCGACAGCACGTCAGCTACCCAATGTGCGACGCGGACGGCCGTACGATGGGTTTTGCTGAGATGTCGTGTCGCGTTGTTCCCGTCGGCAACGCTCTGGCCGCTGCTGCGCCAGCACCAGGAGTCGCACCCGTTAGCAACAGCAGCGCTGTGGCGTTACCAGCCTCTTCTGAAAGCGTGATGGTCAAAGGCAAGCCGTACGTCCTTCGTGTGATTCTTGATGGCAAAGAAAAGAGAGCGCCAACAAGGAAAGGCAAGAAGCGAACGAAGAGTGTTGCCAGTCGTCGGCACTCCAAACCAGCAACGACAGAGGTGTTAGGCACGGTCGTGGCGATGGGTGATGCGCCGATAGAAAATAAAACGGAGGAGGCACATAACCAATATAGAGATAAAGAGGATTCCAGGGGAAGGGGTGCAGCTACAGCCAAGAGGAAGACACTTTTGTATGTCCTGCAATACGAGGTGGCGTATCAAATTCAGTCCAACTGTGGAACACTATATGCCACTTTGAAACGAGAGTTCACACCACTGAATGCAGTTGCTGTTAATGAGAAGGCAAGACCCATGACGACCAAGGTGGAAGATGTTGTTCAGAAGATATCAAGGCTGGCGAATATTGCACTTCAGCTGTCAATTCAGCTAGTTGAGTCAGCTGGGAAGGAATATACAGATATTGCGATAGATGAAAAGAGTCGTCGCAACCCCGTGAACAAACTTCCTGTCCCGCGGGAAGGAAGCGTAGCACATTTTCTCATGTTTCAGGTACTTTTTCAGTTGCAGTGCTTGGGAACCAGCCTTTGCCATATCACGGCAGCTTACCGTCACCCACTGGAAGTTCAACTTTCCACGTTGCACCACCAGCATCTGAGGTTTATCAAGAAGCTTTCGTTGGAGGTTCAGGAATTGACGAAATACATCAATATTATTGTGCAGTCTGCCATAGATGGCGGTTTTGGAGGCGAGAACTCTTTTCCAAAAGCGGCGTCAACAACGGCATACTCTTCCAGCAGTTCAAGCCAAAGTAGCAGCAGCAGCGACACCTCATCCTCCCGATCATCATCAAGTAGGCGTTCGACGGGACAGAAAAGTTATTCTACGGAAACTGTCTCTTCGGCGTCCTTGCATGGACAGACGACGACGGTGGCGCCCATCGGGCACGCAACACGTTTGGTGCAAACTAACGAGCAGGCCAATATTGTCACGCACGCAACACCAGCATATACACCATCGGCGTACGCGCCACTGGGGCACTCGGTTGCGTCAGGTCTGATATCATCGTTGCCCTCTCCGCCAAAGAGCGCTCTACCGGCGGTTGGTGTGTCTGGGTACACATTCCCGCCACATTCAGAGGGAGGCTCCGCGCTGGTTTCCTCAACATCGCTTGTGACATCGCTTTCAAAGGGCGATGAGGATATTGGCAAGGGGTACATATCAAATACCACAGGAGCTGCAGCAATGAAGCCAGTTCTTGATGCCACACATGCCACATCCGCCACTCTTTCAAGCGCTGGCATTTCAGGGGCTCAGCCATTCGCAGGCGCCTCTGGAGTTCCTGCGCCAGTGCCTCAGCCCGTTCAATCCACGTCACCTGAGGTGAGTGTTGCTGCAGCGAGCACGGTGCAGCGGCCCTCTGTTTTTCCCTCAGGTGCTCCTGTGCCAGTGCCTCAGCCCGTTCGATCCACGTCACCTGAGGTGAGTGTTGCTGCAGCGAGCACGGTGCAACGGCCCTCTGTTTTTCCCTCAGGTGCTCCTGCGCCAGTGCCTCAGCC